TGGGGAATTCTGGGAGTTGAAGTCCACACATCTTAAAGTCCCCAAGGTTGAGAAACACTGCATTAGTGTAACCAGCACCTTTAATTACAAGCCAAATGGCAACCAGTTAGTTTGCGAAGCAGCAGTATCTAGCCATTACTGCCTTTGCAACTGTAATGGATTGTGCTTGCCTGGCTCAGCCTTATTTCTTACTATCACCACAGCCAGAGATACTTGGGTGGGAATATTTGTTGGCCAGAACTAGGTTCAGGAGGAAGTGCACAACACAGAGCACCCATTGAACAAAGCTGGAGAGGTTCCTCACCCTGAAGCATTTCAAATACTGTAGTCCTAATCCCCACTTGTTTTTGGTTCTTCTAAAAACTTATACTATTTTAATCCGCCTAAGCATTATGCTAGAAATTACCTAACGATTTATATACAGTAGTAACAGGTCCTGATGGCGGTTTTCATTCAGACTACAATGTATGGGAAGTTTGACTTCTTCCTTCCTTCCCATTCAATCCCACTCATGGTGCCAGGTAAACTCAAGCATATTCTGTTTTAAGAGGTCCATCAGGAGCACTTTAGAACTGTGTTTATCAAGATGTGTTAACCCATCCTTTGTGTATGGATTGAAAAGTTTTATTGATATAGCAATTTATTCTACAGTAATCATGCATTCCCTTAAAGGCTCCCTGAAGTTGAGCTTAATTCTCTGTTGTCTGTGTGGACATAAACCTATGATTTTTCTGCAAAACATGGAAGGAGTTTGCCTTTGCCTTTGGGTATGCTTTTTGGACTTCCCAATCTAGCCAACAATATTGCCTGGTGATCTCAGTCCCTGTACTAACAAGATTGAGACCCTAGTCAGCTTTTCATCAAGATCATGTAGGTGCTACCATTTGCTATGATATTCTGTTTAATGATCCTTGTCATACACCGGTAAAATATAGAATAGTTATTGAAGTCAAAAGAAAAGAGACAGAAAGCTGTCTTATCAGTGACAATAGTTTCTCTTGGAAGTAAGCAAGGGTTAATTCGTTTAAGAATTAACAAATAGGCCCTCTGAAAGGCAATGCTAAATGCTACCCTTGGATTTATAAATGAGAAAACAGGGTATTGTTGGGAGTGAGCTGCAGCCGACGAAAACTTTAATAAAATTGAATCTGAAGAGGTGCTACCAGACTCCTCTTGATTTCTGGCTCCCGCAAGAAAAGCTGAGAGAAGCTGCGCTCAGCCTGCAGTTCTTTCCTTCTCTGAGCCCACGTTGTTTTCCTCTTCCGCGAAACCGGCTCTGGCAAAAGGGCTGCGGCACCGGTGTCCGCGGAGGTAGCGGCTCCTGGAGGCCCCTGAGAGGGGAGGGAGCAGAAGCAGCGGCGCCGGGCGAAGGCGTTCGGCTTCCGGGCTCCCTAGCTGAGCCCGGCGCGGGTGGGTGTTCGCCTCCGTCAGTGCCACGGTGTCTCTTGCGGCAGGCAGAGCTAGGCAGCCCGACTTGCTTCGGTAGCCGATCCGATCCCCGCTGCCCGGTCACCCGCATGCAGCCCTCACCCTGGAGCGGAGGCGGCGGATCGAAGAGCTCTCCAGAACCTCCCGGCAGCGGCTGCTTCAGTCCAGGGACAAGATGTTCTCCAAGTTCACCTCCATCCTGCAGCACGCCGTGGAGGCGGTAAGGCCACCGGAAGCGCCCGCCACGCAAGGCCGGGGCTTACCTCGGGCCTAAGCTGGGGAAAACTCGTTTTCAGGGCCCTCTCGCGGTTTCCCTCTCCTGCTCGACCGACTTCACCTTTCTGCCTCAGATCACCTAATAGCTTAAACTTTATTTTTTTTTCCCTGTGGGGGGGGAAGGGGGGACCCCACCGGACTCGAATCCGGATCAGATGGCGAGGTAGGAGCTTGACGATGTAATTCTTACTTCCTTTTTTCCTTCTAGTCCCTAGTTGAACTCAGCTACATAGCTCAGTTTAGCTTCTTTATTTGTTCGTTTATTGGAAATATTTTATATTTCTCTTCAATTATGCTTCAAGGGCGGTTTACAGGAGGGAGTTTACAACCAATAGACAAATGTTTATGTTAAACAAAATTGTAGCCAAATAAAAACTAGCTAAAAGGCACTGGTAAATAAAAAGGTACTTGCTTAGCAATAAAGGACAATTAGACAATTAAAACGGGTGTAGTTCTGTTTTTGGCTCAGTAGAAGCTTTCAGAACAATGGTAAACGGGCCTTGTAACAAAATATAGCTTGCCTTGTGTATGAGTCTTCCAAACTTCATTTTCAGAGGAGGAGGATGCTCCCACAGTGAAGGAAGAGGTGTTTGAAGACAGGATAATAGTCTGTTATCCATGATTTTAAAGATGTTCCCTTGGGGATGAGAAGCGTAGAGATAAGATTGAAGGCTCAGATCTGGCTCCTTGACAACCCTGGTATAGAAACCTAGGAGTTTGTTGGCAGGAATAGGATGATCTGAACTTTGGCCACATATCCATTGAGGTTCTATCCTGGACACAGAGGAGACAAAGTCCCCTGTTGCATGTTCAGCACAGAAATCAAGAAGATGACAGCATAGGCACAGATTGATTCAGGGCTCTATCGCTGTTGTGCCATGCTTGAATTCTGGATGTATAGGAAGCATAGCTTGTTCACTTTAATTTTGATTGATTGATTATGTGCCATCAAGTTGTTTTCGACTCCTAGCGACCACATAGATTTTCTCCAAGACGATCTATCCCTAACCTGTTCTTTCATGTCTCCCAATAGTGCACTCATTGCTTCTATAACTGAGTCCATCCACCTTGCTGCTGGTCTTCCTCTTCTTTTCTTTCCTTCTACTTTTCCCAGCATTAGAGCCTTTTCTAGAGAGCTGGGTCTTTGCATAATCTGTGCAAAATAGGATAATTTGATCCTGGCCTCAGAATGTTCAAAAGCATCAATACCCTTCTATCCTGCTTCTTTAAAGTCCAACTTTTGCTTCCATAGGGTGTCACAAGGAATACCTGTGGCTTGCACAATTTTGATCTTTGTAGGTTTAGACACAACAATATTTGAATATCTTTTCCAAGGCCTTCATGGCTGCTCTACCAAGTGCTAATCTGCAGCATATTTAATCATGGGAGTCAACTAAGCTAGTGGAAAGGGCAGAAGTGAAAGTGTTTTATTAGTAAAACAGGGTTTTAGTAAGCATATATTTTGCATATAAGGGGCTAGCACAAGTGGAAATGCATCCTCTACCTGTACACCTTGATGAGTAAAAAGCAGTTGGAAAAACTCAGCACGATGACAGAAATTAACTGTAGCCTTATACATATTTAACCAGAGAGTAAGCTCTATCAAACTTTGCAGGACTTTTTGCTAAGCAAACCTTGGTTAAAACCTTGATTAAGATTAAAACTTTGATTGATTCTAGGAGGATAAAAATTAGCCTTACAGTTTACAAAGCACAGATTCAAGTACAATGGGCATTGAAGAAATATAATATGAGTTGACATACAGGGGAGTTACATGACACCCACATGCATTGAAAACTTGTCAGTAGGGGCCACACAGGCTACCTCTGCATTTAATATATGCTGAAGACATGCCATTGTCTGTTCCCCTGAAAAGGAAATGCTTCCCTGCATGCTGCTTGACTATGGTAAATAAGGGCATACATATGTATTATAGGTATGCTTTATGTGGTGAAGGGATTGCATCCCAGTCAAATATATAGATTATGGAACTATTTCTGCTGCAAGTACCAGCAGTATCTAGGTTTATGGTATCTAGATGGAATCTTGTCCCTCTTTAGGTATTATTGCTATATTGGCCTCTTTCCTCCCTGTAACATAGAATTCATCATATTTTGTAAAGGTTGTAAAAGTTAATTCTCAGAACATAATAAGAACCTGATAATCTATCTGGTCCAGGCACCTTTCCTGGTTTAATCATTTTTATAACTTCAGAAACTTCCCTTATTGTTATAGATCCATTCACAATCTGTTTCTGTAATCCTTGGGAAAATTTTGTTTCTTTAGATATTAATGTATTTTCTCTGGAGAGATGTCACTTCCTTTATACAAGCTGGAATAATATTGATGAAATGCCTTTTGTGTAGCCACGCTATCCGCTAATACAGTATCTCCCTCTTGTAATTTCAATATAATTTTCTTTTCTTTTTCTTTTTGTAATTTATGTGCCAACAACTTCCCTGTTTGTTTGCAGACTTTTTTTTTTTTTTTTGCTTTACATAGTTCATTTTTATTTCCATTTCTCTTACTGTTAACATAGATAACTGTGGTTGTAAAAGCTTAATTTGTTGAGAAATGCTTACTGTATCTTCTCTGGAAATTTCTTTAATTCTTTTTTTCTCTTTATCTCATCCAAAATAGCTTGTGTT